CGCAACTAATTGGAACTCTGATTTCCTCAACGCATCAGCCGATAGATAAGGTCACGCAGCAATGATGAACGCCTTGTACTCTACGCCAACCAATTTCAAAGAGTTAGATCCTACACCTTCGCTTTTTCGTTCGAGCGTGATAAACTCCTGTCGGAATTTTCCCCTCCAAAACATCATTCTGCCGCAGTGCAAATAAGAATTACGCAAACTCCAACCGTTTTATTAGGTTGACGTCCCGTGCAATCTTCAACCCCTCCAGCAAAAATTTGTAACTCAAAAACATTATCAAGTTAGCCAACCTTTTCACTCGCGTGCTGATCAATCCTCACTACATCCTTAGTCTTTTTTAAACCAAGGTCTCTCGTCTTTGCCTGATGATCGGTTCTGCTCACTCGTTGGTTATGGAATCGTTGCTCAGCAACGATTATCATGATAGTCAATTCAAAATACTCAGCACGAGAGAGCTGAAGTTGAATAGTGTCATCGAGTAGAAATGTAGAGCTCATTAGTCTAAAGGACATCGTGAATTGACAAGTGACAAGGTATTGCGGACAGAGCGAGTCTGTAAAATCATTCATCACAAAAATAAAGAGTGTCTCCCGACATATTTTGGACCAACCATAAAGATAGCCCTTCTATATCACTAGAAATAAGGATTTCGTATAACCTGCTCCGGATGAGGATTTCGACGGTTAGAAGGGAAAACTAATTCTTTGTACAGTTTCTTAAAGTTTAGGTCTCTCTTCATTTTAGCTGAGCCGTCATATCTAATCTTCAAATCCTTGTCATTCTTCTTCATGACAACATGATGAGATAAATGATGGCAAGGTTTGTGGAGCTCTTCACTTGGCGCGCGCCCGATTATTTCTCTTTGTAAGTGATCTTCAATCACCGCATGATATTTGTACAAAGGATTTCGATGTAGTTGCTTCAATCAATTGCGCAAGAATACCCGATATTATCTGGTACCTTTGTACCTTGAAAAGCAGCGTGACAACATTTCTTCTTCCATCTGAATCGTAGAATGTGGTGTTGTGTTATGTTTAAGGCACTCTTCATCATCGGAAATGGACTTCGCTGCCACAAAGACACACCAGAAACGCATACGTTTATTGGCAACCTCAAACAATATCAAATCACTGCCATAAATGTTTGAGTATGCATACATCAATGAGACAAACAAGGCGAAAGAGTAAAGTGACAAATACACAACAAGGAAA